GGACAGAGGAAAACAATGCATAACCTACTGTGTAAATGGTTGGTGGAACAAAGATTAGATATCATAAAAAAAGACAAAAATTGTTAAGAGCTACAAAAGACAGTAAATTGTGGAGAGCCATGATCCTCTAGGTGCTCAGTTCTGCCATAGCATTATTATTTTAATAATACTTGTATCTATCTCAGTCTGTTAATATCTATCTATTTATTTATCTATCTGTCTACCTATTTTGAGTACAAATTTTGGAGAATGTTTTATTGAAATGTTTAAAAATTATTTTTGATGAGTTATAAGCTAAAGTGCGCCATTGCCGGTTAAGGAAGCAACGTTGCTCGCTGGACGGTGAAAGGCGAAAATACGCCAACAGAAAAGAATCTGGCGACCAAGAAATTTGTTTATAGATTTTAGCATCCGCTCTGTACATACAAAGAAAAAAAAACATACGCACAAACACAAACATGCAGAGAAACTTCACGGAATGAATGCATCGAATAGCCATACGCACACACACGAGCGTACAACCGCACACATGCACAATGGCACACACATATAAACACCCCCACGTATCTATATCTATCTATCTATCTATCTATCTGTCTGTCTGTCTCATTCTGTTCATTATCTATCTATCTATCTATCTATCTATCTATCTATCTATATAATTATTTATTTAAAAATATGATTCCAACACGCTACATAAGAGTTCTCATGTTTCAAAACAAGAGCCGAAAACTTCAATATAAAATTAAATTGAACTAAAGTACTAAGCTCTGTTCCATCTTCAAGCGAATTTTTTTTATGCTCTACTTTTGTATAGAGCACTATTTTAAAAAAAAAATAATAACAAAAATGCTAAAGAATTTGGATTATTTACCTAACGAGTTCTTTCCTAATTTCTCTACATTTTTCACATATATATATATATGTATATATTAGCATATGCACTTTTTGATATAAACATATATAAATATATGTGTAGCATATATATAGGCAGCATATCTTGATTCAAACTTGATTCATTAAAAATATCGACATCATAATTTCAACTTATATATATATATATATATATATATATATATATATATATATATATATATATATATATAATATATATATATATAATATAATATAATATAATATATATATAATATAATATAATGTAATAGATATAACAATTACAATAAAATAATATAGATACAATAATTTCAGTTTATTTCAATACCGACCCTTTTCAGTTGTCTAGTGAGTTTATTGATGTTAAGACGAAATTCATAAAGTTTCGATCTTTTCCATGATCATCTTCAGGGGTAAACAGCAAAGACAAATTTAACTGCGATAAAATCTGTATTCCTTTGTGATGTTGATTTTTGAAAATATGCGTGAACTTGCACCTGAAGATGGTCTTGGTGGAGGACGAAACGCGCCGGCTAACATAAGTATTCTTTTTGTCTTTGTACACACACACACACACATTTTTATATATTATATATAAATATATATGCACAAACGCAATTGCATACACGCGAAACATACACACACCCAGCCACACACATATATGAGAAACGTGTTCCCCAACATGTACATATATATATAGACATACAGCATATACACATTCGTGACATTGATAACAAACTTGACTATGAATTACAATCGATTAATTTAGTGAGAAAATATCTATCTCGCTAACTCGTTATTTAGCAATCACGCACTCTCTCTCTTTAACTATTTCTCTTTATCTCTTTCTTCTATATATATATATATATACATACGGTGGGATATCGCGAGAGTGAGAAAAAGCGAAAAAGAGACAAAAAGTTTACACATATGTAAAGACAGCATAAATCTTTATATATATGTATATACATATATATGTATATATATATACACACACACACACACACACATATATATATATATATATATATATATATATATATATATATATATATATATATATATATCGAATCGACAACGTGCAATGACGTGTTGTCGATTAACAGGAGACAGTTTGCTGTTACGCAGTGAGCAATTTGCAGTTCACCGTGCATTTCGTCTTTCTTTTTTAATGTAAAATCGGCAAGTATATCTATCTATCTATCTATCTATTTATCGATCTATCTACATATATATATATATATATATATATATATATATATATATATACAGACTGTTTCGCTGTTTCACAGCTCATCAGTGTGGCTAGACATCCGGATATATATATATATATATATATATATATATATATATATATATATATATATATATATATATATATATATAAAATATATCACTAAAATAAATAGAGAGAATGTGATAACTGAGAAAGAGAGAGAGGAGAGATATGCACATCCCAAGATAACTAGTATTAAATATATATATATATATATATATATATATATATATATATATATATATATATATATTCATTAAAGACATTTTATGTTTAACGTTCTTTTTATAGATACAAGTATTTAAGTAAATGCTCTGTTTATAATAAACAGTATTAAATAACATTTACCGGCCTGAATGTCCGAGAAATTTTCATAGAAAATATTCGTCCTTTGTATTTTCTATGAAAATTTCTCGGACATTCAAACCGGTAAATGTTATTTAATACTGTTTATTATAAACAGAGCATTTACTTAAATATTTGTATCTATAAAAAGAACGTTAAACATAAAAATATCTTTTAATAAATAAATTGTCGGACTTTATCTAATTCTTAATATATATATATATATATATATATATATATATATATATATATATATATATATGGTATAGGAAGCATATACAGAAGGAAACATATAGTGAATGAGTTTTATATGTGTGTGTGTGTGTGTGTGTGCAAAGGGAGAGAGGGAGGGGAAGAGAGAGTGTATGCATGGTGGATGTTATAAAATGTAAGAATGGGTGTACATGCAGAAAAATTAGAATATATATTCATATATGTGTTTGTCTAAATATATAAATACACACACACACACACACATATATATATATATATATACATATTTATATATATATATATATATATATATATATATACATATTTATATATATATATACATGATAAAATATAGTTTTAATTATACTACAAAGTCAACAGTAAATATCGACATTCCTCTTCATACATTTATATATATATATATATATATATATATATATATATAGAGAGAGAGAGAGAGGCGAAGTCAGAGAAAGAGAGAAAGAGAGAGAAGGGAGATCTAATAAATGCGCAATAGTATCCCATCGGTATACTATTGCGCATTTATAAGGATATTATATCTAGGATAGTGATTTACTATGTATATGTATGGCACGGGGTCGAAATCATGGAGCTTCCAGTAAGGATCGAACTTATTACCCAGTCATAATTGATTGAGAGATCAAGTTTGATAACTATCCAATTACATCGAATGATATATCTGCGCAAAAACAAAACATATCATACTGCATTAACTGATGCAACCAAAGACTCACACATATTGTGATTGTCCAAGGGTAGGTTAGATGTGGCACAAGGCCGAAAGTAGT